CGACACTTCCGCCATCTGCAATCCGACCCCACCACCAAAGACATCTTTCCCTCCCCACCCTTATCTGCTTTCCGGAGGGACAACTCTCTCTGTGACTCCCTTGTCCGCTCCACACTCCCCTCCAGCTCCACCACACCCGACACTTTTCCCTGCAACCGCAGGAAGTGCTACACCTGCCCCCACACCTCCTCCCTCACCCCCATCCCAGGCCCCAAGAAGACTTTCCACATCAAGCAGATGTTCACCTGCACATCTGCCAATGTGGTATACTGCATCCGCTGTACCCGGTGTGGCTTCCTCTACATCGGGGAAACCAAGCGGAGGCTCGGGGACCGCTTTGCAGAACACCTACGCTCGGTTCGCAATAAACAACTGCACCTCCCAGTCGCGAACCATTTCAACTCCCCCTCCCATTCCTCAGACGACATGTCCATCCTGGGCCTCCTGTAGTGCCACAACGATGCCACCCGAAGGTTGCAGGAACAGCAACTCATATTCCGCTTGGGAACCCTGCAGCCCAATGGTATCAATGTGGATTTCACAAGTTTCAAAATCTCCCCTCCCCCTACCGCATCCCAAAACCAGTCCAGCTCGTCCCCGCCTCCCTAACCTGTTCTTCCTCCCACCTATCCCCTCCTCCCACCTCAAGCCGCACCTCCATCTCCTACCGACCAACCTCATCCCGCCCCCTTGACCTGTCCGTCCTCCCTGGACTGACCTATCCACTTCCTAACTCCCTACCTACACTCACCTTTACTGGCTCCATCCCTGCCTCTTCGACCTGTTTGTTTTCTCTCCACCTATCCTCTCCTCTATCCCTCTTCTATCCGCCTCCCACTCTCTCCCTATTTATTTCAGAACCCCCTTCCCCTTCCCTGATGAAGGGTCTAGGCCCGAAACGTCAGCCTCTCTGCTCCTATGATGCTGCTTGGCCTGCTGTGTTCATCCAGCCCTGCACCTTGTTGTCTCAGATTCTCCAGCATCTGCAGTTCCTACTATCTCTGATTCAGTTATTACCAGTCATGTGATTTACAGAAAGCCTTGTTTGAAAGAAATCAATGTCACAGTGACCTTTCAATGACCTCTTAAAGAAACTGCTCTGGATATTTCGGCAAAATGTGAAGGGAATCCACTTTCCACAATCCTTCAAAACATATATACTCCAAGCAATATTAATTTTTAATGTCTTTGCAATGGCGCACATGGACAATCACAGCTTTGAGGATTGATGTGGAGGTGCCAGTGTTGGACTGGGGTGGACAAGGTCAGAAATCACTCGAGACCAGGTTATAGTCCAACAGGTTTATTTGAAATCACAAGCTTTTGGAGCCTCAGTCCTTCTTCAGGTGTTAGTGAGTATCAGACACAGAATTTATAAGTAAAAGATCAAAGGCTCACACTATTGATGAAGATGTACTAAACAAGCCTAAGATGCTGTTAAATCTTTAATCAGTTAGAAGGTTTTAATTGATTAATATGTAAATCCCCGAATTCATTACAAGTCACTGCCCTGAGAGAACTAAAGGTTTTATTAATGTAGAGAAGAAGTGACATTTTAGGTCAGACAATGCATGTTAGATGTGAGACCTTGCTTCGAATCTGTGTGTGTTCTGGTTTGGAGTCAGACTGGTTTTATTTCTAAAGTAGAAATTTATAAAATATTATATTGACTGACTGTCTAGAAATTGTGTGTTTTTTGATCAAAATGTGCGTGTGTGTGTGCGTGTGTGTGTGTGTGTGTGTGTGTGTGGTGGGAGGGGGAAGGTGTGGAGAGAAAGAGTGAGTGTGTGTATGTGTGTCCGGGTGGGGGTAGAGTGATTAAAGATTTAACAGCATCTTTGGTTTGATACGTCCTCATCAGTGGTGTGACCCTTTCATCTTTTACTTATAAATTCTGTGTCTGATACTGCCTCTCTCACTAACACCTGAAGAAGGAATGAGGCTCCAAAAACTTGTGTTTTCAAATAAACCTGTTGGAATATCATCTGGTGTCGTGTGATTTCTGGCTCTGAGGATAGACGTTGCTATCTGCAGGCATAATGGTCATGTAACTATGCAAATGTGGAGTAATGTTTCACTACATTTGCAGGAGAAGCATGCATACAATAAATGCCAATGAGTCTAGATTGGGGATGGTGTGGAATTTGAGAGTGGTACTTGATACATGGCACTTGAACTCCTTCAAGGAACAGACTGTCAAGCTGACAGGAACATGGTCTGTGCTGAAGGGGATACTTCAGACTTCCAGTGAGAAAACTTCCAATCTGCTGCTCCCAGCTGCTCATGAAGCAGCAATGTTATAGGATCATATTCACAGGGAGTTGTAAAGTCACACAGCATAGAAACAGCCCTTCAGCCAACCATGTCTATGTCAACTAACAAACACCAAAACTACACTAATCTCATTTAACCTGCACTTGGTCAATAGTCTACTATGCCCTGTCATTTTAAGTACTAATCCTGATGCTTCTTAAATATTGTGAGAAAATTAAAGCTTGAATAAGTGTGGCTGTTTGAGATACTAATAAATCTTTATGTTTTTCTATACAACATCCAGATCCCATTTCCAAACGAGGACACAAAACAGAAGAGCTCTAGCTGCTAGGCCCATCTCCATGTATCCATTAAACTACATTTCTGAGGGAGAACAAACCTCAGAGGGCTTACCAACCTCTTCACCAACCTGTAATGGCACAAAAACATTCATCTCAGGGGCTAATCTATCTAGAGTAGGCTGGAAGTCATGTTCTGGTGAAGACATGACTGACACAGACCTGCAGCTACAACAGGAAGAAATGGCCAAGACACTGAGAGGACTGGTGGAGATCAGAACCCCTCTCACCCCAAGCCTCCGGACTCAGCCAACAGTGAGCTGATGGAATTGCAGAGGCAAGTACATGAATACATTGCTGAGCTGCCAGACATCATGTGCAGATTGGTGTAAAGGGCAAAAGGGACTGATTGGGTTCTGCTTGATGTTATGGTATGTTAGCTCATGATGGTTTCCATAGATTGAACGGCAGATGCTATTAAAGCTAGGTCCAGCAGAGCAGTCAGTATCTGCTGGATCTTCACAGGTGACAGGGTGAGGGAAGAACATCTTTCACTCCATTATTCAAGCCATTTATGCAATTATTCATTGGCTAGGTGGGGGGAGGTGATGCAGAAACCTTGTCCTCCCTCCAGGTACCCCATCTGCTTGAGGGGTCAGGGAGGTGCCACTGATCACAAATAAGGAAGAGGAACAACAGATAGGCACCTAGGGATTATCATCTCAGGACACCCCAGAGGTACCTGTTACACAACCCCGCCTTTGGCAGGCTTCCAAATGCCTCTTCGAAGGGTGTACCTTCACCCACACAGGAAACTCCCAGCAGGTTAGGGGCCTCTCAGCCTCAGACCACCACAATGTGCTCACTAATGTTGGCTGGGGAAAGCTGTGAAACCAGTTAGCAGATTTCCACAAACTCCAGTGCAGCTGCTGGGGTGTCACCAAAATGTAGCGATAGGAAAGAAAGTTAAAGCAACACTGGAGGCACTGGAGGTGTATACATTTGGACAACATGACATGTAACACAAATACTGCACTTTCTGTGACAGTCCTGTGGTCTTCCTGAATCTGTTAGGACTTCTGCTCCTCCCTTGTAGTCTACATTGAGGGGTTCTGATCTCCATACTCACTCACAGGTACATCATGTGGAGCTTGTAAAGAGTGCTGAGGCTGGGAATTGTTCAGAATGTAAACATTGTGAGAACCCCCTGAATAGTGGCACACACGTGCAGGAATAGTGTGCTGTGTTGTGGGTCACAAAAGAGTTGGACATTGAAGGAGCGGAGTCCCTTCCTGTTCAGTTATGTGGCTGGATGTTACTAGGAACTCCAAGCTCCACGTGTATACAGTCGATGACCCCGTGTACCTGAGGGAATCCAGTGACATCTGCAAATTCAGTGGCTTAGCCATTTTGGTTCTCTGGGTCTATGGTGAACTGGACGCATGGTATGCCTTTGCTGTAAAGAGCACAGGCAAGCTCACAAATATACTTGCGGGCTGCTGACTTGAGGAGATGCTACGCATGATCCCAGTTGATGTCTTGAAGGAATTGTGGTGAGGAAGTTCAATGCCTCTGTGATTTTCAGCATCCACTGCTTACGATGCTGAAATATTTGTTAAAAGCCTCACATGGCACGATATGGTAAATGTTAACAAGGTCGGTATCCTCTTGCGTTGGTGCACTGTCAGTCAAGGAGAAATGCACAAAGCTGCCTAACTCATCTCATGATGTGGAGGTGCCGGTGTTGGACTGGGGTGGACAAGGTCAGAAGTCATACACCAGGTTATAGTTCAACTGGTTTATTTGAAATCACAAATGTTTGGAGCACTGCCCCTTCGTCAGGTGAAGCGACAAAGGGGCAGCGCTTCGGAAGCTTGTGATTTCAAATAAACCTGTTCGACCATAACCTGGTGTCATGTGACTTTTGACTAACTCATCTCAGACCATCCTTCAGCCAGTCTCTGAACAATCTATCAGGCTATTACTTTATCAAACTGAGTAAATCAGATTCTGTTTTCAATTACATGGGATTTTATGAGTGTTATGGAGGAATCACATTCTGCAATTTCATCCCATTTCCCTGAAGAATCAGAATTGTTGACTCTTATACAGAATAATTTATGAGTGACATTGTAAAATTTCTAATCAAGATTGCAATGAGAAACAGACATATCCAGCTCAATAATATCCATAAGGAAATACCAGATTTCTTAAAAAGCAGGTTTCAAAACACTCTTTACATGCAGAATGTTATACATTATAATTTATATAGGGATTCATGGTTACTAATTCAACTGTAAAGATCTTCAAACCAAAATTATTTGAAAAGCACTGTCTTGTTGAATTGAACCAGTCTCAAAGCTACAAGCTAGAATGAAAGGCAGTGTGACAGACTGCAATACCATCCAGTTCCTTAAAGTTATGCTCTAAAACCATATAGTTACTTGCCTGGTTACTATTGCTGATTCTTTTTGCCTTCACTGGATCACAAGTTTCGTAAACTGCATACATGATCAAACCGCACATACAAGCCGTAAATGTTACTCCAATCATACCAAACCAGTTTAGCAATATTGCCCTGTTAAATAATGAAGAACTGATGGTCAATGCATGAAGCTACATCACACAGTAAGAATGAAAGGAGTGAACTTTGAAAGCTTGCTGTTTTCCAACAAAACATTTCATGTATTCTACTAGTGTGAACGTATAATAAATGATGAATAAAATTCCTTCTGGCCAATATGGGTCATTGAATTGATGATTATATGACTGAGATGTCTTACAAGGTTATGTTTCATATAATCAGGGCTCAATGTACACAAACCTAACATGTAGCTCTTCAAATGAAGCTACAGGTCATGAGTATAATGTAACAAAGTGTCAATTGTAAGTGCAAATGAGGATGAAACTTTGTTACACTTGGAGTTGGTAATTTATAAATTAAAGTACCACATAAGAAGTGAGAATTTAATTATCAAAGCAGGTTAAGAATTGATCTATTGTACTTAGGAAGTACAGTGCCAATGGGCTAAACAAACAGTAGCCCAATTAACTACAAATACAAAGGACCAGACTCCAACAATGAAGTGCAGTCACTCAGGGTGGATGAGTGGTTTGAAGACTTAAGTATGGGGAATTATTTTAAAAACAAAATTCAAAAAAATCTGTCAATAATCAAATTACAATATACTTTGCATAAAGTATTCTCTTTAAAGTCTTCAATTTTGGGTTTCTTGAGCTTTTTACACATTTTTCTTCTCGGTAGTATTATTATTTATGCGAGAGTTGTAAAACCACAGCTTATGCTGTGACTTTACTTGGGACAGGCACCAACTCTACCTCAGCTCGAAATTGGATCAAAACTGAAAGACTAGTTAGGATTTTGCAGCAATCCAAAAATTTTGATATCACTATTAGTGGTGCAAATTTTACCCCGGATTAAAATATTGCTGTCAAAGCTTTTCATCTTGCACTCAACAGGTCAAACGCAAGAATATCAAATTTCAAATGATCACAACAATTTACACTACAGCAGAAAATGTTCTGATTGATTGTCCGAGATCACTCTGATCACCTGAGGAGAAAGCCATGGAGGCACTATAGACCTCCCAAGTTCCCAAATAATTTAGGGAAGGTGCAAGACTTAACATATGATCCTATTTCTTGATGTCCTAGATGAGAAATCATTCATGCATTCTCTACTACTGTCTACTTGCAAGGCTACCTTTATTGATCAACATACATTTTGGAATTCATAAAGTGCTATGTGCTATAAGATTGGTCCCATCAGCAGCCTTTAAGTTGTACCCCATCAATAACCTTGTAAATCATCTGGTCATCTAGTAAGCAAGACATATAGAACGCATCAAAGTTATCCTGTGGTACAATGGCTACCCTGGTCAAATAATTGCTCAATGTGAATCATGCAAAGTAAGAGATGGACAAAAGTCCTCCACTTGAGGACCAAAAAGGCCTGATGTATTTCAATTGTCCCAGAAAGTCAAAGGATGTCAAGAATTTGAACAACAGGTTAAGGAAACCATTGAAATTTCATACTTCTAAATTTCATGCTCCTATCCAGCAGCTATGTGAGTGTCATTTTCCACATAAAGGATGCTGCAGTCAGTCCAACAAGACATCCTGTACACCACACAAATGAGCAACCTTTCTGTACGGCTTTCAGTATTGTTGCAAAGCCAGGTATGTAGCCCTTATGTAGCTGAGATTGGCTGATCAAAACAGGGACCATGTTTCTTCAGTGCCGGCCAGTCCTCTTGCCACATTTAAATAAATAATTACAGGTCAATTAGGCTTGTTAACAAACACAGTTACCTGGATAATGTGCTGCCCATGTCATTTCATGCCTGCAATGAGCAGTCAGGTAGGAATGGTCAGCAAGAATTTCATGGCCTAGATGGAAGATGGTGGAAAGAGAGGGGTGGAGTGTACCTCATTCAGGTGAGGAATGTCAGTGCCCTGCTCCCAACGTTTCCTTATGTGCCTCCTGCTCTCAGGAACCCTGCCCCCAATTCACTTGCTACATCACCTCCCTAGTTTTCAGAATGCCTCCCTGCCCTCAGACCCTGAACTTACTCTTTGGGGCAGCCATCTTCCTTTCTCTTGCTCCTTCTTGCAGTCTGACGGTGCCCACTATTGAGTACCAGTGCCACTGGGGCAGCGGGCAGTTACCAGGGGCACAACTTCCTCTCAATGAGGGACAAAGGTCCCAGCCTCAACCCAGTTAGCCTGCTTTCATTGTGTCATGACTATAGGGTGGGCTTCTTTATGGTATGTCAGCCTCTGGCTGGCTTTCCATCTGTGTGGGAAGGTGAAGGATGCAGTCTAACTCTGTAAAATGCCTTTCCACCCTGTAAAATGCAGCCTGGTCGCACAGAAAATGTCAAGTGCTGTCTCCTGGTTTTTAACACAAACATAGCCTCTAACCATGAGTTTAACTTACTTTTTTGCCTCTTTTTCACTCTTGCAGGCCAGGTATCTTTGTACCTGAGCTTGGTTGGCACTGTATATTGCAACCCATACAAATGTGCCTCCTGTCACTGTGGTCCAAAATGTATGTCTTTTCCTTGGATCAGGATCAAAGCTGAAAGATAAAATAATTTTATGCAGCAATTATATTTCTATTGATGCACAAATCTCCAAAATATGCTCGAACAATTCTCTGTCAGGATCCAAATGCTAATGCACACCGAAGAACAATACTTTGCGTTGTCTCTTTACTGTTTAGAAATAACTAAAAAAAAGAGCTAAATGTGATGAATTACGTTTTGAAATGTATGACTAGTCACACAGGCAAACGCAGCAAATTTTTTTGGAGCTGTTACTCTAAACATTTGACCTTGGGAAACATCTATTTGTTGTTGGTAAGATCTATACGATGAGTGTAAAATATTTTGTTCCCTTTATGCCATCTCTGGATTTCCAAGGGTCCTATGAAGGATACTGCAGGGACTCTGTTATCAGACTCAACCTATAACAAGGCCTCCATTAACAGATGGTGATGGTAAGTGGTGGCATCAAGGAAAGAAGCTAGATTTTGTAGACAATCTCTGGAAGGAGACGTGGCTTTGTCAGGCAGAGGCCTCATGGACAGAGAGGGACAGTGAAAGAGAGAGAGAGAGAAAGAATTAATCAAACAAGATGTCCTAATCCAATGTAATTATTGATTTCCTAATGTGAGGTTTATTTCTTTTAAGGATTGTAAAGACCTATGCCAATAGAACAAAGAACGCCTGCTTCATGTTTTTTGTGCCACCTGTGGAGTTAAATCTTATGCTGCAGGTGAATGTATTTGGTTCAATTGATCTGTTCAATATCTAAGCTAGAATTATCTAAGGAATATCTAGGAAATTTTAGTGATAGTAGGAACTGCAGATGCTGGAGAATCTGAGATAACAAGGTGTAGAGTTGGATGAACACAGCAGGCCAAGCAGCA